CACCACGTGCTCATTTCAAGGCTGAGTCGACCTAGGTGAGGCCCAGCACAGGTTTGCCTATTCGTCCCTGTGAGCGGTTACTGGATTCGTAGTGCAGCGCGCTAACCGCTGCACCACCGCTGGCTGCCGGCTCGCCCGCCCACTGGCAGGCCCCGGCTCACCTGGCACACGCTGACTAACCTGGCTCACCTGGCGGCACACGCTGGCTCACCTGGCTCACCTGGCGGCACACGCTGGCTCACCTGGCTCACCTGGCGGCACACGCTGGCTCACCTGGCGGCAGGCCCCGGCTCACCTGTCGGCACACGCGCGTCTTCTCCAGCAGGTACTGCTCGATCTTGGCGCCCTCGATGGCTCCGCGCCGGTTGAAGTGGATGTCGATGTACTTGCCGAAACGGCTCGAGTTGTCGTTCCGGATCGTCTTGGCGTTGCCGAACGCTGGCGGACACGACACGGCACGGTTACCGAGGAGTCGTCGTCACGGCAACGTTGATGCAGTCGCGGCAACGGCGGCGGCACCATGGCTAGAATCAAGGTCGTCGCCCTATTCGCGATGCCGGGTCAGGTGACACGGTTATTCCCACTTCCCAGATTTCCCCCCCAAGACGCTAGGCCCCAGGGGATTCGTCGGCAAAGAAAGCGGCGGCGCAGTGGGTGAGGAGCCGCGGTGAGGAGCCGCGGTGAGGAGCCGTGGTGAGGAGCCGCTCACCTTCCAGGATGGGGTTGGCCTCCAGGACCTGCTGCTCGATCCACGAGTGCTGCCCGCTCACCGCCGCCAGGAACTGCAGGATGAGCTTCGTGCTCTCCGTCTTCCCCGCGCCGGACTCCCCGCTGCCTCCGCACAATGCGGCACACGGCACACCACAAGGCACACCACGTGGCACACCACGTGGCACACCACACACCAAACAGCACACAGCACACCATCCGTCACGCGGAACACCACGCACCATGTGGCAATCACCACGTGGCACACGCACGAGCACAGCGCGTCACACACAGACGCTCACCCCCCCCCTCTCTCACACCCTCACATTCAGCACAAAGACAAAGATACCCAGTGCAGCCTCAACAGACTGCTGGGGCAAGTGCGGTTAGCGAGCACCTACGAAGGCCGGCACGGAACAAGAGGGGGGTGGGTGGCCAGCACCACGCCGGGTCGCCTTTGTCTCCCCAGTGGCGATGTTTACACACCGCACCAGGTACTCGTTTGAGGGCGAGTCGACCTAGGGAAGGACCAGGACCGGTTCAGAAAATCATCGCCGCCGGCGTTGGTGTCCGTTAGCGGGACTCGAACTCGAGTCGCCGGGTTCGTAGCACGGCGCGCTCACCGCCGCGCACGCACCGCCCGCACCTGATGATGCAGCACTGGTCGCGGTTGTTGCGCCGCATGCTGAAGTAGCAGTTGTCGGCGATGGCGAAGATGTGCGGCGCCATCTCGCCGATCTTGCGGTTGGTGTAGAGGCGGATCTGCTCTGCCGTGTAGATGGGTAGCAGCTGGTACGGGTTCACCGCCACCAGGATGGAGCCCGTGTAGGTCTGGGGTGGGGGGGGGGGGCACGCGGGGGGGGGGGGGCACGCGGGGCAGGTGAGGCGCAAGCGACGTGACACACGCAAGCGTCATGCACGAGGCGGTGGTGCCATGGGTAGGGGTGGTGGTGCCATGGGTAGTGGTGGTGGTGGTGTCATGGGTAGTGGCAGTGGTGCCATGGGTAGTGGTGGTGGTGCCATGGGTAGTGGTGGTGGTGTCATGGGTAGTGGTGGTGGTGTCATGGGTAGTGGTGGTGGTGCCATGGGTAGTGGTGGTGGTGCCATGGGTAGGGGTGGTGGTGTCATGGGTAGTGGTGGTGGTGCCATGGGTAGTGGTGGTGGTGTCATGGGTAGTGGTGGTGGTGTCATGGGTAGTGGTGGTGGTGCCATGGGTAGTGGTGGTGGTGCCATGGGTAGTGGTGGTGGTGTCATGGGTAGTGGTGGTGGTGTCATGGGTAGGGGTGGTGGTGTCATGGGTAGTGGTGGTGATGTCATGGGTAGTGGTGGTGGTGTCATGGGTAGTGGTGGTGGTGCCATGGGTAGTGGTGGTGGTGTCATGGGTAGTGGTGGTGGTGTCATGGGTAGTGGTGGTGTCATGGGTAGTGGTGGTGGTGTCATGGGTAGTGGTGGTGGTGTCATGAGTAGTGGTGGTGGTGTCATGGGTAGTGGTGGTGGTGCCATGGGTAGTGGTGGTGGTGCCATGGGTAGTGGTGGTGGTGTCATGGGTAGTGGTGGTGGTGCCATGGGTAGTGGTGGTGGTGCCATGGGTAGTGGTGGTGGTGGTGTCATGGGTAGTGGCGGTGGTGCCATGGGTAGTGGTGGTGGTGCCATGGGTAGTGGTGGTGGTGTCATGGGTAGTGGTGGTGGTGTCATGGGTAGTGGTGGTGGTGCCATGGGTAGTGGTGGTGGTGCCATGGGTAGGGGTGGTGGTGTCATGGGTAGTGGTGGTGGTGCCATGGGTAGTGGTGGTGGTGTCATGGGTAGTGGTGGTGGTGTCATGGGTAGTGGTGGTGGTGCCATGGGTAGTGGTGGTGGTGCCATGGGTAGTGGTGGTGGTGTCATGGGTAGTGGTGGTGGTGTCATGGGTAGGGGTGGTGGTGTCATGGGTAGTGGTGGTGATGTCATGGGTAGTGGTGGTGGTGTCATGGGTAGTGGTGGTGGTGCCATGGGTAGTGGTGGTGGTGTCATGGGTAGTGGTGGTGGTGTCATGGGTAGTGGTGGTGTCATGGGTAGTGGTGGTGGTGTCATGGGTAGTGGTGGTGGTGTCATGGGTAGTGGTGGTGGTGTCATGGGTAGTGGTGGTGGTGCCATGGGTAGTGGTGGTGGTGCCATGGGTAGTGGTGGTGGTGTCATGGGTAGTGGTGGTGGTGCCATGGGTAGTGGTGGTGGTGCCATGGGTAGTGGTGATGGTGTCATGGGTAGTGGTGGTGGTGCCATGGGTAGTGGTGGTGGTGCCATCGGTAGTGGTGGTGGTGTCATGGGTAGGGGTGGTGGTGTCATGGGTAGTGGTGGTGGTGTCATGGGTAGTGGTGGTGGTGTCATGGGTAGTGGTGGTGGTGTCATGGGTAGTGGTGGTGGTGTCATGGGTAGTGGTGGTGGTGTCATGGGTAGTGGTGGTGGTGCCATGGGTAGTGGTGGTGGTGCCATGGGTAGTGGTGGTGGTGTCATGGGTAGTGGTGGTGGTGCCATGGGTAGTGGTGGTGGTGCCATGGGTAGTGGTGGTGGTGTCATGGGTAGTGGTGGTGGTGCCATGGGTAGTGGTGTTGGTGCCATGAGTAGTGGTGGTGGTGTCATGGGTAGTGGTGGTGTCATGGGTAGTGGTGGTGGTGCCATGGGTAGTGGTGGTGGTGCCATGGGTAGTGGTGGTGGTGGTGTCATGGGTAGTGGTGGTGGTGCCATGGGTAGTGGTGGTGGTGCTATGGGTAGTGGTGGTGGTGCCATGGGTAGTGGTGGTAGTGTCATGGGTAGGGGTGGTGGTGGTGCCATGGGTGGTGGTGCCATGGGTAGGGGTGGTGGTGCCATGGGTAGTGGTGGTGGCATGGGTGGGGGTGGTGGTGCCATGGGTAGGAGTGGTGGTGGTGCTATGGGTGGGGGTGGTGGTGGTGCCATGGGTAGGGGTGGTGGTGGTGCCATGGGTAGTGGTGGTGGTGGTGCCATGGGTGGGGGTGGTGGTGGTGCCATGGGTAGTGGTGGTGGTGCCATGGGTAGTGGTGGTGGTGCCATGGGTGGGGGTGGTGGTGGTGCCATGGGTAGGGGTGGTGGTGCCATGGGTGGGGGTGGTGGTGGTGCCATGGGTAGGGGTGGTGGTGGTGCCATGGGTAGGAGTGGTGGTGCCATGAGTGGGGAGTGGTGGTGGTGCCATGGGTGGGGGTGGTGGTGGTGCCATGGGTAGGGGTGGTGGTAGTGCCATGCTCTAAGTTGGTATAAGAGTAACTCACCCTCCCGCCACAGTTGGTCTTAGAGAGTGAGGGAGAGAAACGGGGGAGTGAGAGAGACACGGGGGAGAGACACGAGGGAGCGAGAGAGACACGGGGGAGTGAGAGACATGGGGGAGTGACATGGGAGCGAGACACGGGGAGAAGAGACACGGGAAATTGAGAGAGACATGGGGGAGTGACACGGGAAAGTGACAGAGACACGGGGAGAGAGAGACACGGCGAAGAGAGACATGGGGGAGAGAGACACGGGGAGAGAGAGACACGGGAGAGAGAGACACGGCGAAGAGAGACAGGGGGAGAGAGACATGGGGAGAGAGACACGGGGAGAGAGACACGGGAGAGAGACACGGGGAGAGAGACACGGGGAGAGAGAGACACGGTGAGAGAGAGACACGGTGAGAGAGACACGGGGAGAGAGACACGGGGAGAGAGACACGGGGAGAGAGACACGGGGAGAGAGAGACACGAGGGAGTGAGAGAGACACGGGGAGAGAGACACGAGAGAGACATGGGGGAGAGAGAGAGACACGGAGAGAGACGCGGGGGAGTGACACGGGGAGAGAGAGAGACACGAGGGAGTGACAGGGACAGCACACTCAGGTCAGACAGGAGAGAGCATGGCTCTGCGCAGGTTCCGCCGTGACTCTGCGTCGCACGCAACGCCGGTGGCGGCTGCATCGGCGGTGCCGCGCGACCACGTACAAGAAAGACAAAGATCCCCCGTGTCGCCTTGACAGACTGTAGGGGCAAGTGCTGTTAGCGAGCACCTATGAAGGCCGGCATGACACACGAGGGGGTGGGTGGCCAGCAACATGCCCGGTCGCCTTTGTCTCCCCAGTGGCGATGTTTACACACCGCACCAGGTACTGATTTGAGGCTGAGTCGACCTAGAGAGGCCCAGGACCGGTTCAGATAATCGTCACTGATGGTGTTGGCTGTGAGCGGGAATCGAACTCGGGTTACCGGGTTCGTACTGCAGCGTAGCGCTAACCACTACACTACTGCTCCCCACAGACATGTGTGTTTGTAGTGGCTGTGATTGTCACTGTGTGGTGCTGGGCATGCGAGGCCACGGCGGGTAACGTATTGTCATCACGTGCAGCCCGCTTGCTGGGCCTAGTACCACCAGCCCTAGCGGGGCCTGGGTGAGCGCTGGTCAGCGTGGAGGCAGCGCGAGCAGCGTGCGGTGCGGGTCCCGGTGCGGGAGCGAGAGGGGGCGTCAGCCAGCCAGAGTCACGTTGGGGCACGATACGCCGGTTGGCCTGCCGACACGTGACCGGATGATATTGGAGGGGTGGCCACCGGTGGACGGGGGCCGCTGGGCGGTCACGTGGTAAAGAGGAGCTCTCGGGAGCCTTCGGGAAAGGGCCAGAGAGATCGAGAAGGTGGGCGGGGCGAGGGGCGGAGCCCGGGCCGATATAAGGGGGGCGGGGGCCGTGAGGGGCTCGGGGTTCTTCGTGTTGCTGGTGATGAAGATCCACGTCGGGTTGAAGAAGCCTCGAGCCACGTGGTCTGGGACCCAGCACCTGGTCTGGGACCCAGCTCGTGGTCTGGGACCCAGCACGTGGTCTGGGACCCAGCACGTGGTCTGGGACGCAGCTCGTGGTCTGGGACCCAGCTCGTGGTCTGGGACCCAGCTCGTGGTCTGGGACCCAGCACGTGGTCTGGGACCCAGCTCGTGGTCTGGGACCCAGCTCGTGGTGCTCGTGGTGCGGGCCGGGATAGCGAACCGTCTCAAGTTCTGCCGTAGCGTGGTGAGATGGGCGTTCAACAGAGGTCGCAAACGGGTTTTGATTCCTTACCCGTACCCGTACCCGGCCGCACCAGGGTCGCAAATGGGTACCCGTACCTGGCCGGGTAGGGTACGGGTACGGGTAGCCGATTGCGACCTCTGGCGTTCAACACCCGTGTGTAGGTTACGTGATGTTGTGTTGGTTTAAATAAGAGTGTTGCTCCCAAGATAACGTCTGCGACTCAGTTTGACGCACTACATGTGTGTAAAGGCACGGGTGTCTGTGTGTCTTTGTATGTAATTGTAGAGCTAAACCTGTCCCAGGCCGGCCCTAGGTCATCTCAGCCTTAACCGCGTACCTAGTGCGGTGTGTAAACACCAACACAGGAGAGACAAAGGCGGCTGGCCGGGCGTGGTGCTGGCCACCCACCCCTCGTGTGCCATGCTGTCCTTCATAGGTGTTGCTCGCTAACAGCACTTGCCCCAACAGTCTGTGAAGGCTACACGGCGGATCTTTGTCTTTGTTGTACGTGACTGTGCGTGTGTGTGTACGTACGTACGTGTGCATGCGCGACTGTGCGTGTGAGTGTGTGTACACAGTGTGTGCGCGTAACTGTGCGTGTACATGCGCGTGTTTGTGTACGTGCATGTGCGTGCGCGCGACTGCGCGTGCGAGTATGCGAGCGAGCGTGTACGCACGTGTGCGTGCGCGAGCGTGCGACCGTGCGTGTGAGTGCGTGTACACAGTGTGTAAGCGTGACTGTGTGTGTGCGTGCGCGAGCGTGCGACCGCGTGCGTGCGTGCGTACGTAGATGAGGTGGTCGCGGTAGCGGATGAGGAGGTTGCGCAGGATGCCGGCCTCGTTGAGGTCCCCCAGGCGGATCATGTCCTCCACGCCGTGCACCGACGTGGGGTGCATGGGGCGCACGAGGCGCGCACTCTGTGGGGAGATCCAGTGCTCCTGCGGCGCACACGCGCACGTCACGACACGCACACACGCACGTCGCGACACGCACACACGCACGTCACGACACGCACGTCACAATGCGCATACGCGAAAGTCTCCCTGGCAGAGCTGTCTCCGTGGCGGAACGATCAATCCCCATACAAAGGCGGAACCGTCTTCCTGGTGGAACCATCCCCCTGGCGGAGCAGTCCCCCTAACGGAGCAATCCCCCTGGCGGAGCAGTCCCCCTGACGGAGCAGTCCCCCTGGCGGAGCAGTCCCCCTGACGGAGCAGTCCCCCTGGCGGAGGCGTCTGTACTCACGTTGCCTTCGTCATCGTCCACCTGCACCTGCCCGGAGTCGGAGAGTTTGACGACGGCGCCGATGGGAACGTCGAACTCGCTGCCCGTCTTCAGGTCCAGCCACACGTAGTCTCCCTGTGCACACGCAGACACACGCAACAGACACATGCACAGACACCACACACACACGCAGACAGACACACGGACACACGCACAGACACACGGGCACACGCATAGACACGCAGACACACACACAGACACGCACACACGCAAACACACACACGCAAACACACGCACACAGACACACGCACACAGACACACGCACAGACACATGCACAGACACGCAGACACACACACGCAGACACACGGACACACACAGAGACACACGGACACACACACAGACACACGCACAGACATGCACAGACACGCAAACACACGCACACAGCCTTAACAGACTGTAGGGGGGAGTGCTGTTAGCGGATAGCACCTATGAAGGCCGGCACGGCACACGAGGGGTGGGCGGCCAGCACCACGCCCGGCCGCCTTTGTCTCCCCAGTGCTAGCGATGTTTACTACACACCGCTACACCAGCTACTCATTTGCCTCTCCCCCCCCCGCACCGTGCCAGGCTGCCCCCCGCCCGCCTCCCCCCCCGCCTCTCCCCCCCCCGCCTCTCCCCCCCCGCCTCTCCCCCCCCCGCCTCTCCCCCCCCCGCCTCTCCCCCCAGCCGCCTCTACCCCCCCCCTCCGTGTCTGTGCGGCACCCCGCCAACACCACCACCACCACAAACACCACCACCGCCAACACCACTACCAACACCACCACCACTAACACCATCTCCAAAACCACCACAAACACCACCAACACCACCACCAACACCACCAACACCACCACCACCACCAACACCACCAACACCACCACCAACACCACCGCCAACACCACCACTACCACCAACACCACCACCACCACCAACAGCACCAACCCCACCACCGCCAACACCACCAACAACACCACCAACACCACCAACACCACCACCAACACCACCACCACCAACACCACCACCACCACCAACACCACCACGAACACCACCACCACCAACACCACCAACAACACCACCAACAACACCACCAACGCCACCACCACCACCAACAACACCACCACCAACACCACCACCAACACCACCAACACCACCACCACGATCGGCTACGTACGGTGCGAAAGAAGTCCAGGGAGGGGTTGTGGGTGAGGGTGCAGGGGGGTGGGGATGCAGGGTGGGGGGTGGGGGTGCAGGGTGGGGGTGCACGGTGGGGGTGCAGGGGGGTGGGGGTGCAGGGGGGTGGGGGTGCAGGGGGGTGGGGGTGCAGGGTGGGGGTGCAGGGTGGGGGTGGGGGTGCAGGGTGGGGGTGGGGGTGCAGGGGGGTGGGGGTGCAGGGTGGGGGTGCAGGGTGGGGGTGCAGGGTGGGGGTGGGGGTGCAGGGGGGGTGGGGGTGCAGGGTGGGGGTGCAGGGTGGGGGTGCAGGGTGGGGGTGCAGGGTGGGGGTGCAGGGTGCAGGGTGGCGGTGCAGGGTGGGGGTGCAGGGTGGGGGTGGGGGTGCAGGGTGGGGGTGCAGGGGGGTGGGGGTGCAGGGGGGTGGGGGTGCAGGGGGGTGGGGGTGCAGGGGGGTGGGGGTGCAGGGTGGGGGTGCAGGGTGGGGGTGCAGGGTGGGGGTGCAGGGTGGGGGTGCAGGGGGGTGGGGGTGCAGGGTGGGGGTGCAGGGTGGGGGTGCAGGGTGGGGGTGCAGGGGGGTGGGGGTGCAGGGGTGTGGGGGTGCAGGGGGGTGGGGGTGCAGGGGGGTGGGGGTGCAGGGGGGTGGGGGTGCAGGGGGGTGGGGGTGCAGGGTGGGGGTGCAGGGTGGGGGTGCAGGGTGGGGGTGGGGGTGCAGGGTGGGGGTGCAGGGGGGTGGGGGTGCAGGGGGGTGGGGGTGCAGGGTGGGGGTGCAGGGTGGGGGTGCAGGGTGGGGGTGCAGGGTGGGGGTGCAGGGTGGGGGTGCAGGGGGGTGGGGGTGCAGGGTGGGGGTGCAGGGTGGCGGTGCAGGGTGGGGGTGCAGGGTGGGGGTGGGGGTGCAGGGTGGGGGTGCAGGGGGGTGGGGTGCAGGGTGGGGGTGCAGGGTGGGGGTGCAGGGTGGGGGTGCAGGGTGGGGGTGCAGGGGGGTGGGGTGCAGGGGGGTGGGGGTGCAGGGTGGCGGTGCAGGGTGGGGGTGCAGGGTGGGGGTGGGGGTGCAGGGTGGGGGTGCAGGGGGGTGGGGGTGCAGGGGGGTGGGGGTGCAGGGTGGGGGTGCAGGGTGGGGGTGCAGGGTGGGGGTGCAGGGTGGGGGTGCAGGGGGGTGGGGGTGCAGGGTGGGGGTGCAGGGTGGGGTGCAGGGTGGGGGTGCAGGGGGGTGGGGGTGCAGGGGGGTGGGGGTGCAGGGGGGGTGGGGGTGCAGGGTGGGGTGCAGGGTGGGGTGCAGGGTGGGGGTGCAGGGTGGGGGTGCAGGGTGGGGGTGCAGGGGGGTGGGGGTGCAGGGTGGGGGTGCAGGGTGGGGGTGCAGGGTGGGGTGCAGGGGGGTGGGGGTGCAGGGGTGTGGGGGTGCAGGGGGGGTGGGGGTGCAGGGTGGGGGTGCAGGGGGGTGGGGGGTGCAGGGTGGGGGTGCAGGGTGGGGGTGCAGGGTGGGGGTGCAGGGTGGGGGTGGGGCTGTAATTGCTCGAGGCCTCGTCAACGCGTCGCCCGCTCGAGGCCGCTGCCGATTTACGGCCGCGGTGGGAGGGGGGGGGCCCCGCCCCCCATAAACAGCGCGGTGGGGGGGGGGTGATTGATGGTGGTGACGGTGGTGATGGCTGTGATGGTGGTGACGGTAGTGATGGCTGTGATGGTGGTGATGGTAGTGATGGTAGTGATGGTGGTGATGGTGGCGGTAGTGATGGTGGTGATGGTGGCGGTGGTGATGGTGGTGATGGTGGTGATGGTGGCGGTGGTGATGGTGGTGGCGACATTGTGGGGAGCGGTGGCACAGTGGTTAGCGCCCCTCCCCTCCCCCCCAATGTCTGCGAATATTTGTCACCGTGCCGGGCCTGCCGTAGGTCCGCTCAGCCTTAAAATGAGTACCTGGTCCAGTGTGACGTCGCCAATGGGGAGACAAAGGTGGCTGGGCGACGGTGGAGATGCCCCCCCCCCCCCTCGTGTGCTACAGTGCCGGTAGCCTCCACAGGCGCTGCGACTTGCTGACAGCACTTGCCTTAAGTCTGCTGAAGGCTACACGGGGGAACTTTGTCTCTATCTTTGTTGGCGGAATGAACACACCCTCCCAGGACTGGCACGGCTCGCACTCACCACACTCACTCACCACACTCACCATCACAGTCACCACACTCACTCACCACACTCACTCACTCACCACACTCACTCACTCACCACACTCACTCACTCACCACACTCACTCACCACACTCACTCACTCACCACACTCACTCACTCACCACACTCACTCACCACACTCACCATCACAGTCACCACACTCACTCACCACACTCACTCACTCACCACACTCACCACACTCACTCACTCACCACACTCACCACACTCACTCACCACACTCACCACACTCACTCACTCACCACACTCACCACACTCACTCACCACACTCCCCACACTCCCTACACTCACCACACTCACTCACCACACTCACCAAAGGCGCCATCACAGCCACTCACCACTCCGGGTGCCTGCTCGGTCCCTGCCCCAGGACGAGGGCGCTCCACTCCTCACCCCGCGACTCACCCCCCCCCCCCTCACCTGTCTGAGGATCACCATGGCACCCGGTCCTCCGCTCCGCACCACGCCGAGTGTCACCCGCAGCAGCAGCAGCAGGAGCAGCAGCAGCAGGAGGGCGCCTGCGTGCGGAGAGACACCGGCGGTCAGTGACAGCTCGAGCCGCAGTCACCCCCAGCCCCTCCCCTCCCCCGCGCCTCCTCCCCCCCCCCCCCCCCACCCCCCCCCCCCCCCCCCAGTGTATTTCTCCCAATGTCTCACTCTCTCTCCCAGTGTCTCACTCTCTCTCCCAGTGTCTCACTCTCTCTCCAGTGTCTCACTCTCTCTCCAGTGTCTCACTCTCTCTCCCAATGTCTCACTCTCTCTCCAGTGTCTCACTCTCTCCCAGAGTCTCACTCTCTCTCCCAGTGTCTCACTCTCTCTCCCAGTGTCTCACTCTCTCTCCCAGTGTCTCACTCTCTCTCCCAGTGTCTCACTCTCTCTCCCAGTGTCTCACTCTCTCTCCCAGTGTCTCACTCTCTCTCCCAGTGTCTCACTCTCTCTCCCAGTGTCTCACTCTCTCTCCCAGTGTCTCACTCTCTCTCCCAGTGTCTCACTCTCTCTCCCAGTGTCTCACCCCTCACTCCCAGTGTCTCACTCTCACTCCCAGTGTCTCACTCTCACTCCCAGTGTCTCACTCTCTCTCCCAATGTCTCACTCTCTCTCCCAGTGTCTCACTCTCTCTCAGTGTCTCACTCTCTCTCCCAGTGTCTCACTCTCTCTCCCAGTGTCTCACTCTCTCTCCCAGTGTCTCACTCTCTCTCCCAGTGTCTCACCTCTCTCTCCCAGTGTCTCACTCTCTCTTCCCAGTGTCTCACTCTCTCTCCCAGTGTCTCACTCTCTCTCCCAGTGTCTCACTCTCTCTCAGTGTCTCACTCTCTCTCCCAGTGTCTCACTCTCTCTCCCAGTGTCTCACTCTCTCTCCCAGTGTCTCACTCTCTCTCCCAGTGTCTCACTCTCTCTCCCAGTGTCTCACTCTCTCTCCAAGTGTCTCACTCTCTCTCCCAGTGTCTCACTCTTTCCTCCCAGTGTCTCACTCTTCACTCCCAGTGTCTCACTCTCTCTCCAGTGTCTCACTCTCTCTCCCAGTCGTCTCACTCTCTCTCCCAGTGTCTCACTCTCTCTCCCAGTGTCTCACTCTCTCTCCCAATGTCTCACTCTCTCTCCCAATGTCTCACTCTCTCTCCCAATGTCTCACTCTCTCTCCCAATGTCTCACTCTCTCTCCCAGTGGCTCACTCTCTCTCCCAGTGTCTCACTCTCTCTCCCAATGTCTCACTCTCTCTCCCAGTGTCTCACTCTCTCTCCAGTGTCTCACTCTCTCTCCCAGTGTATCACTCTCTCTCCAGTGTCTCACTCTCTCTCCCAGTGTCTCACTCTCTCTCCCAGTGTCTCACTCTCTCCCCAGTGTCTCACTCTCTCTCCCAGTGTCTCACTCTCTCTCCAGTGTCTCACTCTCTCACATGTGTCTCACCCTCTCTCCAGTGTCTCACTCTCTCTCCCAGTGTCTCTCTCTCCCAGTGTCTCTCTCTCCCAGTTGTCTCACTCTCTCTCCCAGTGTCTCACTCTCTCTCCCAATGTCTCACTCTCTCTCCCAGTGTCTCACTCTCTCTCCCAGTGTCTCACTCTCTCTCCCAGTGTCTCACTCTCTCTCCCAGTGTCTCTCTCTCTCCCAGTGTCTCACTCTCTCTCCCAGTGTCTCACTCTCTCTCCCAATGTCTCTCTCTCTCTCCCAGTGTCTCTCTCTCTCTCTCCCAGTGTCTCACTCTCTCTCCCAGTGTCTCACTCTCTCTCCCAGTGTCTCACTCTCTCTCCCAGTGTCTCACTCTCTCTCCCAGTGTCTCTCTCTCTCCCAGTGTCTCACTCTCTCTCCCAGTGTCTCACTCTCTCTCCCAGTGTCTCTCTCTCTCTCCCAGTGTCTCTCTCTCTCTCTCCCAGTGTCTCACTCTCTCTCCCGTGTCTCACTCCTCTCTCCAATGTCTCTCTCTCTCTCCCAGTGTCTCACTCTCTCTCCCAGTGTCTCACTCACTCTCTCGCCCAATGTCTCACTCTCTCTCCCAGTGTCTCACTCTCTCTCCCAGTGTCTCACTCTCTCTCCCAGTGTCTCTCTCTCCCAGTGTCTCTCTCTCCCAGTGTCTCACTCTCTCTCCCAGTGTCTCACTCTCTCTCCCAGTGTCTCACTCTCTCTCCCAGTGTCTCACTCTCTCTCCCAGTGTCTCTCTCTCCCAGTGTCTCTCACCCAGTGTCTCACTCTCTCTCCCAGTGTCTCACTCTCTCTCCCAGTGTCTCACTCTCTCTCCCAATGTCTCACTCTCTCTCCCAGTGTCTCACTCTCTCTCCCAGTGTCTCTCTCTCTCCCAGTGTCTCTCTCTCCCAGTGTCTCACTCTCTCTCCCAGTGTCTCTCCCAGTGTCTCTCTCTCTCCCAGTGTCTCTCTCTCCCAGTGTCTCACTCCCTCTCCCCGCGTAGTCCCCACCGA